TTAATTGTATTTATTTTGCTTGGCGGGGAGGCCATCATAACAGTAGTTGATTGATTTTTATAAAATCACCCTCAAGGTCATATGTAGGACTTTGCTTTCCCGTGCAGCCATAACAAACAATTTGAGGGTCACAGCCAAAGGCTCAGCTGAGCAATATTCTTCCTTTCTGCTTGCAGAGAAGGGGTCAAGTGCAATAAAAGAAGGAAGCATAACTTTTATTTTCTTTTAAAAAAGGGGAAGACAATCTTGTAAAGCAGCAGCTGTATATTTATTTTGACCTGATGAAAAGCAAAGAAATATGGAAAGCTGAGTGTTGGAAGGACCGTGTATAAATTTTTGACACAGGTATTTGTAAGTTTGGCTGGAGTTTATTTTACATATTTTACACTTGGACTTGTTTAATGGCCAAATGAATCCCTGCTAATGTTTTCTTTTCCTTTGTCTGATATTGCTTTTTTTTTTTTTTAAAAAAAAAACTTCAGCAGTTGAATTTTTCTTTTTACACTTTTTTCCCATAAGTGCCTTTTGTTTTGTTCTGGAGGAGTTCAGAAGCTTCAGAAGGTGCATGAAGTTGTGGCCATCACTTGCAGCTGATGCACTCAGTTCCTACGATTACACTGGGATCTGTCTGCTGCTGCTAAGGGACTGCCAAAGCATCCCATACAGCAAATTTCCTTTGGTGGTCACGATCTCTCAAATCTTTGCACCATTGCCAAGTGTGCTTTGAATTGTCATTGCACTTGGGGAAGGAGAATCTCAAGAGCCAGGCAACAGCTCCCAGCTTGAAATCCAGCTCTTTTTGTTCCAGCGCAACCAAATCTTCACCCAGAAAGGGAAGGCCAATAGGATGTGCCCCAGAAAGGGTCAGACCTGCAGGCCAAGCACAGCAGAATTAGTGCCTGCGACTGAGATGCTGCTACTGAGAAGTGCTGGAACAACACGTGTGCAGGGCCGTCACAAAGCATCCAATTGCCAAGCTCACCAGACACCTGTAAATCCACAAAGGAGATAGAAAATATTTGAATAGATGCAGGAGCCCATTGCTCAGGATAGCTGATGTGTAGTGAGTTCCTAATGCTATGGAACCAGGGGACTTCCTGAGGAAAGGAAAGAAAGGATTTAGAGGACTGTTCATTTGTGAGGAGCTGTATAAGGATGGGCAACTCTTGACATGCCAAAGCCACGCTGTACACAAAAGTGCCCATCAGAACATCTAGAGCCAGGGTAGGTAGGGAAAAAGGAAGGTAAATCCCAGACCTTATGGGAAACAGATATCTTCCCACAGCTGCCTTGAGATGTGCTGAAAAGGCTGCGGACAGGAAAGAACTCAGGAGTCTTACAGGAGGAGATGCTCCCCCATCTCTCCCATCCAACAGAGAGGATCTAGAAAGGGTTGTGGGAGGAACTGAATATTTCTAAGTTGCCTTATGGACAGCTTGAAAATTTTAAATGGACAGCGTGTGCCTGAAGCGTATGGAAACTTTTGGGAAGGTCATTTGAGGCAGAAGTGTGATTTTGCAATCAGAAGACAGGACAGCTCTGGCTACCAGCCTTCCCAGTTCAGTGGTGCAGCATAGCAACAATTAAAATATTCATTAAAAATCACACGAAGAGAAGTGGAAACAGAAATGACTATATTTCAGTGGGAATAGTGCATAGGAAGTCAATAAAGACCTTGGGGAGGATGTCTTTTTTATGTTAGGAATAAAATAAATCGCGGTGATTTATAGTTCCATTTCTCGATCGCAGTGATAAAATTATTAACGCTGCTGCTATAAGGCAAATATATTTAATAAATATTTCTGTTCTCAGCGTGGGAAGGAACAGGATGGTAAATTATATCACAAGAGGAAGATGGAACAGCAATCCATTTATTACCGAAGAAGATGTTAAATAGTATCTTTCAGGAATACACATTAAGCACCAGGGCCAGTTTTATTCTGGTAGAGGCATTCTGTGGTCTGTGAATATTAATTTCAGTGTACGTGGGAAAGTACAGAAGGGAAAAGTTTCCCCTCAGAAAGGCGACAAAATTTTAAATCATCTTCTAAGAAAATCACAAATTTGTTCAAATATAGTTTTGTAAAATGTAGTAGTGTGATCACCTGGAAGAAGTAAATCACCTGCAAGTAGATGGAGATCCATCACCGATCACATTTGCGAGTGCCATTCGAACTAAGCACAGATTTACACTGTGGAGTACACAGCTGGGCAGATAGGAACAAAAACTGTGGGTACTCAGTAAGGGACTGCGTGAGAGAGAGCTGCATCTATGAAAACCATCAGGAGCTGAGGTGGCCAAGGAAGCTGCTGTAATGAAGTAACAAAGGGAGGTCGTATAGTTTTTTGTGTGATGAGGAAGGTACAGAAGGTGGGGATAAAGAATTGCCTCTGTGGAGACTACCAAGGAGAATAATAAAGTGGTGTAAGGATTAAGAAATCTGGCTTCCCCATTTCAGGAGGAGTGTTCATAGAATCATAGAATAGCTTCGTTGGAAGGGACCTCAAGGATCATCAAGCTCCCCAAGGATCATCAAACCCCTTCTTCAGGAAGGCCACCAACCTCCATATCCAGTACTAGACCAGGCTGCCCAGCCTGAGTGTTCAGGCTATGGAAGAGGATATAGATGATTCCTTGCAGCAAGAATCTTAGAAACTTTATAACCAGCCTGATCAAGGGCTGAGGTTTGATTTAATTGCTGTTTACATGCTGATACCTTCGCAGGAAGTGCTGTTTTGTAGACCTCTCTGCAGTGCAATGCAGGAGGGCGTAAAGGCAACCGCTGTCTGAGAGCTCATCTGTGGTTGGAAATAAAACAGAAATTGTGACCAGTAAGGGAGATCAGCCACTGGAAAAAAAATGATCTTAGAAAATGGTAGAATGATGTCACCAATCACTTAATTGATTGTCTGCATTTCTGGAGGGCATCCAGCAGTCAAACACAGAGTCTCCGCTTCCTTCAGTTTGTCAGTAGTGTGATGTGCACAGACCAGCAGGAGATAGGATCTAATGGTCCCTCCAGTCTGTGAATGTATACCATTTCAGCAGAGCACGCTTCTGTACTGCCAACACTTCATTTTTCTAGAAGTCTCAGGTGTACCTCAGAATAAGTCAGAAACCTTCCATCATTTTAAATGAAACAAGCTGAATTTCATGCTGTTGTATCAGTGTTTACTCAGTACAGTTTGTGAAAATACAACATTGCTGTAACAAAGCTTAACAGAAATGCATTTGTGTGTAGAAAAGTATGTCTAGGGAAACAGGCAGCTTATATACCAGGAATCTGGTGTTTGTGGGAGGAATACCGTGGTTCGCAGTGCTTATTTGCAAGAAAATGTGAGGTTTATCTCTTCTCTGCATGCCCTGTATAAGCTTATCTGGAACCTACTTAAGTCTCCAAAGGAAATATTGAATGGGGAGCTCTTATTCAAATGCTAGCTTTGTTGTGAGAGTGAGAAATTAAGCTCAACAATTAAAGTCCATCAATGCAAGAATAAATAAGGAGTATGCAGAATGTGCTCAGCAAGAGTGGATGCAATGGAATGGGAAAGGCAGAGAAGTGCTGTGCAGCTCCCATATCTCTGTGACTGGTAGTATCTTATGGGGAATCCAACAGTTTGGTGGGTATGAAGATCAACATTAAAGCTTGCTAACAACTGGCCATGGTATGAGACTCCTTAACTGCTGCTTCGTAAAGGGAAAGGTTGGGAGGCTCACAGACCCTTTGTAAGGAGATATGATGTGAGGCTTTGGGACTAGCTCCAGGGATGCATGGTTTGACCTAGGAAGACCCATCCCAACTGCAGAAGGATGAGATGTCTGAGAGCCTACTCTGTGCAAATACACCGTAAAGGTAGCAGAAGTGTCCTTTATAGGAGGGAAGCCGTGAAAGGATGTCAGAGTGAACTGCTCTGAAATGATAGACTGGGATTACCAGCTCACACCGGGCAAGAACAAAGGAGGCATTTGATAGAATGAAAAGAGACTTGAGTTGAAACCAAAGGATGAAAATGCCTTTTCATGTGTTGTGTAGTATGTAGACCACAGAATTCAGTGCTTCAAGAAGTTATTGAGATGAGTATTAAACAGATTTGAAGGATCAGATATACATCACTGACAAAACCTGTCCAGTTTTACTAATAGATTGTACAAGGAAAATGTTGGCAGGAAGATGAATGAAACCTTATGCTTTGGGGCAAAACTAACCTTTAATTAGGGATTCAAATGAGGCTTTTATGGAATGAGGAGATCTTTTCACATCCAGCTAACAAGGAGAAGTTTCTTGTATTGTATTTGGAAGCATCTGGTTTTGAACAGCAACTGGAAGAGTTGAATTGAACTAAGCAAGTTGCCAATTCTTGTGTTCCTAAGCTTTGCTCTCGCCTCCCTCTGTCACAAGCAGTTTGTAATCTGCAAAGTAACCTTTACTGCAAAGTAAATTAAGTAATATTATCCCCTTCTAACAGTTAGAGAGTGAGTGAGTTCAGACTGGGAGTTTCCAAACTTAACTCCCTTGGACTGGAAGTGGAGAGACTTAGATATTTGCCCAGATTTAATGGTGGTTTTGCTCAGGTCTAGAAAGATGCTGCCTGTGGCAGAAGTGAAAGACGGTCTAAGTTAACTAAGATCTTCATTACTAAAAGAGACATGCTATAAGGAACTGATCAGTCCAAAGGGAGGAGTACCGACCACAGTTGGATTTTTGTAGGAAGCGGTATTGTTATCTTCATCCTTAATCTCATATCTTTAACCTCATTAGGATAGAAGCAATTTCTTCTCAGAAAGAGAAGCAGTTCCACTGCCCACAGAGATGGTGGAGTCACTGTCCCTGGAGGTATTTGAGAACTGCGGAGGTGTGGGCATGGTGGGAGTGGGATGAGGTTGGATTTGGGGACCTTTGGGGTCTTTACCAACTTCAGTGATTCTGCAGTTCTGTGATTCAATGATCATGACTGACCACGTGGTCAGTGGTTGCATTTTACTCTTCTGTTGTCTTCAGGAGGCAAACTCGTGTTTACTGGTCCAGGACCTGTGGAACTACATGCTCATTACATTCTGATATCTGATGGAGGAGAGCTCCGGGTGGGATCTTCCACAGCCCGTTTCCAACACAGAGCACGCATCTATCTCTATGGAAGCCTCCACTCCCCACCACTGTTTCCATATGGGGCCAAGTTCCTGGCAGTGAGAAATGGGACCCTTTCCATCCATGGTGAGTACATTTTTCCTTCTCTTTAAAAGTGCTGTATTTCCATAAGAGCTGCCATTACTGGGAGCTGAGTCATTTTGAAAATTTCAGCCCTAAGAAGAAGCTAGATGGTATCAAGTATTGTTTGATTCTGTGATTCTGTGATTCTGTGATTCCAAGTAGTTATGAAACCTTAGCACTCATTTAGGTGCTTGAAAGAGGCCTGGATTTATGCATTTAAATGAAAGTGTCCATCCCTTGGATGTTCATTTCTCTGCTGTGTATCACATGGGTTTGCTTTGCTACCAGAACGGGATATCTTTTTCTCCTTATCTCCCTCCATAACAGTTAGGAAGTTTCCTTCTCTTGTGGTTGCCAATAGAAAGTACTCTACCAGGTAGGTCCTGTGCTGAAGCCAGTGACAAGCTTTGCCAGCTGGAGTGGGAACACTGCTTCTCTTCACAGCAGCAGCAGCAGCAGCAGCACAGAACTCCCAGCAGTGTGTTTTCCTGTTCTCCTCCATCCTCCAGCCGTGCTTCTTCCTGATCGCCTGGCATTCCACGCAATCACACCTGCTCTGCACAGGTTGTGGTCACAAGTGACAAGCCCAGAGCTATGCAGATGAACTGTGGCAGTGCTAAAAACTTCAGTCCTGGATGCCCAGTCCTCTGCTATAACCACCATATTTACTCTGAAAGAAAACCCCATGAAGCAAAAGTGTGCATTCCTATCATGTAGAATAGACAAGGGGCCTAGAAGGACAGACACTGGCATGGGTTTGTGGATGAATACAGGTTCATATCATGGGGTAGAAGAATTTGGACACACAGATTTTTTTTAAAGGGCTGTGAAAAACTGGTATTAAATAGACATTTCTAGTTGCTGTAGTCAGGATGTGGAATTCAGGTCCCAACAGCATGAATTAGAGTATTAGTGAAATGCACACATCTAGCTCTTAATATGCTGTTTTTAAAGGCAGTGCATGTCTTAGAAAGGAGAAAGGGGAAAAAAAAGCCGACGTGTCTGAACGCCTCATCTCCCTCCCTTCTGTTCTTGCATGTCAACATTCATGTCAGTAGGCATCCGTATCCTCCAGCAGGGCTTGAACTTCCACCCTCCAGGCCCATGGGCAGAAATGTTGCCATCTGAGCGTTACTGACACGTATGGCTCTCAGTCAAAAATAATGTAAGACACCGAGGGGTACAATCTGAGCACACGGAGGGAGAGAGCTGTGCTGTGTGAGGTGATCCTGTCAGTGCCCAGCAGCTCAGGGAGGTCGGGTGAGGTTGGCTGTTGGAGGGCAGTCCTCCAGCAGATGCCTTTCTGAAGCAGGAGAGGGGAGTGGAAGCTGGGGGTGGCAGGGGATGTACCTGGACGTGTGCTGAAAGCCACACCGTGTGCTCTTGACCCTTTAGTTGAGTCACAGTAGGGCTGAAATATTTCGTGCTTGCCATTGGCTTAAATAATTTCAGTCAACTGGCTTTAGCAGAAGGGCAGAATGTTTCTATCCCATTTCCTAGAGGGGCTCCGTGAAGAAGTGCTATTAGATCACCCAAGCTGAATTGACTGTCCTTTACTGGCCATTGAGTTTCACACAGTTATCCCAGCTTTGGGTTTGGTAACTCGCATTAGATTAAAGCATGCCTTCCAGAAAGGCTTGGTCTTTGTCTGAGGACGTCAAGGGAATCAGAAGCCAGCATTTTCTGTGGAAGCTCGTTCCAGGGGATTTGGTTAATCATCCATGTTTTTATTTTATTTTTTAAGAGACATATTAAGATGTCTGATTTGAATTTGCCTGGTAATGGTTTTCAGTATGTCGTTTTCTGTGTCTTCTTCTGCTAGCTTCAAGCATCCTTCTTAATTTGACCTCTGTAAGGAAGTCAGAACTTTGTCCTTACGTAGTCAGCGCACTACAAAAGCTTTGACTTCTCCATGCTGTTTTGCTGTCTAGCAATTTGGGAAAGAGAGCACAGTATCTCCTTGCTGCTGGGCTGCTTGTCCTGCTTCTCGTTTCCCTTCTCAGCCTGCCCTATGCCTGGCTTTTGGGACTCCCCAGTGAGCAGCCCCCGCTGCTCTCTGCTCCCTGTGCCAATGCTCTGGCACCCGCCCAGCACAGCAGTGCTGCTGATGGCTGCTCCTCACATCCAGGCTGTGCCCTGTGCCCCTGGGCTGCCCCAAGCATTGTGGAGCAGAGCTCCATCCCCTTGCATGTCCTGCGGGGATTTACAGCTGCAGTGGGACCCCCCTGAGCTGCCCCAGCTCTGGGCTGAGCAGCCCCAGCTCTCACAGCCTCTCCTTCCCCTTATTGAACTGCAGGAGTTTCCTGCCTGCCCATTTCTCCAGCCTGTCCAGGTCCCTCTGCACAGCTGCGTTTCTGACGATGTTTTACACCCTTGGTGTACCCTGCAGTGAGCAGCTCAAAGACCAGCCACGAAGCCACTTCTAAGCTCTGCATGACATACTATCCCAGTGCCTGGCTGCAATTAAGATTGATTCTGACCATGTAATCCACAATTTAGCACTGAAGCAGTAGCAGCTCAGTAGAAAATAAGACCAAAAGAAGTGTATTCTTTTGCTGGCTTCACATTGCTCACATCAAACAGAAATATGTTGTTCTGGCTCCAATTTAGCACCAGTCTGGCCCGTGGTATAGAACAAATTGTTGAGCATGTCAGCCTCTTTCATATCACACGTGTATATGAAAGAAACTGACGTGCTCAGCAATGTATGTGATATATATATACATCTACACGTACACGTATGTTATCGCAGATCAAAATCGTTAAACAAGCAGGCTTTCAAATTCAGAGCTGTCGTGGTGAAGACAGGGCTGAGTGCATTTTAATTCCTGTTCTCCTTCAGACGGGGAAGTTTGGGGGATGCTCTGCAGCTATGGTTGAGTTCAGATTGTTTAGTAAGCGCTGTCAGCTTCTTACTTTGATATGTTAATATGACTCAGGGTTTCCCACAATCCCCTGGCGAGCAGCAGTCCTTTGCTCCGGTGGTTGTAGCAGACTGGGAAATTTCAGTGTTGCCTTTGGCTTTAGCCAACTCCCCTGCCAGTCAGATCGTGCCACCCATAAACTGCCTGTCAATCACACGTCAGGCTTACAGGGGGGTTCGGTCAGCCGGGGCAACTCCACTTTTTGACAATGTAATTATGGCCCTCGTATCCGCAGTAGGGGCCTGAGCGGAGCTGGGAGACTTTTATTGATTGTTCAGAAGGGAAATTTATCACTGTCTCCAGCTCTGTTCACACTTTATTCCCTCAGAAGTGCTCCTGACAAGCTTTGGGAGAGAAGTTCGCCGTGGTGGCCTTGGCTGTTCTTGCACCTTTGTCCTTTCCAGGGAAACTGGGTTGCAGGCAGCAGCTGTGCTGAGCATTGGCAGGGATGGGGTGGGGATGCAGCGTAGGTGTGGATGTCAACTCTTTGAAAGGGGAGATAACAGCAGGACCAGGGGAAATGGTTTGAAGTTGAGAGAGGGAAGATTGAGGTTGGATGTCAGGGGGAAGTCCTTTCCTATGAGAGTGGTGAGGTGCTGGAACAGCTGCCCAGAGAGGCTGTGATGCCCCGTCCATCCCTGGAGGTGTTCAAGGCCAGGTTGGATGGGGCCCTGGGCAGCCTGGGCTGCTATGAAATGGGGAGGTTGGTGGCCCTGCACATGGCAGAGGGTTTAAGATTCATGATCCTTGAGGTCCCTTCCAACCCGGGCCATTCTGTGATTCTGTGATGTTGCATCAGTGGCTGAGGACATCTAACGTTTGCGATAGCCCAGTTTCCTGTTCCCAACACTCTCATTGCCATGGGAGACAAAAATGTTAAAGGTGTTTCCCATTCTGTTCCATTTCTTATCCCATGAGGTCATTATTGTGCTGTGTGAAGCAGACTGTGCCTCATCCCAAAGAGTAGCATTCTTGCTATTTACCTAAAACCTTATCAGTACCAAGGTTGTGATGATATGGGGCATGAATATATGAGCCTGTTCTCTGCGTGTTGCCTAACAACACATTCCTCCCCAACTAGATGGAAGATGCTACGCTTTGGATTTGATAATATGCTGCATACACTTTGTTTAAAGCCTTAAGCCATCCCATGGCAGGGATTGGAACTGTGTGGGCTTTAAGGTCCCTTCCAACCCAACCATTATGTGATTCTATGACACTATGATTTCAGTCCCTTAAAGTCATCGGAAAGTCCTGCTGCAAAGATGCATGTGGATGCTGCTGGTAGAAGATGGTAGTAGGTAATTCTTCATTTCTTAAATCTCGGGCTCCTTAAAACCAAAGAAATCTTAAGCATTTCCAGGATTATTTCAGACAAAAATTGTTTTCAATCAGTTGAGCTGATTATTCACTTTAATCACATTTAATCAATAATAAAACACAAAGCATCTGTGAGCTGTGCACTCTTCACCAGAGCCTGTTCATCCCTCAGGAAAGCAATCATTTAATCAAATGGTTCTTGTTTTTCCTCCATTAAGTACGGGTGTATCTGTGTTGAGTTTAAGAGATCATAGACAACATGAGAGAATTTGTTCAAATCCTCTTTCCCTTTCTGTGGTCACTTCCATGGGTTAGTTTTCCTCAGATGTTAGTTATTTCGTGTGGTTGCAGGAGGCTTTCTGCTTTCCAAAATAGGATTTTTCCTTTCAAGACGTTGATTCGCACATGATGCATTAAAGCAGATGGCTCCTGAACAGAAGGCTAAAGCTGCCTTGGATCCCCTGTGTTCACTGGGGGTAGGAGACTTCACTTAGGCACTTCCCATGGAGTAACTAATGTACAATGACTTCTGCCTTCACTTTCTTATTCATAAATGTAAGTTGACCATTAGATTTTAAAGACCCAGTGGACGGGGGCTGGGGGGGAAAACAACAGATTGTGTAAAACTGAGTTCAGAGAGAGATGCTGTGTCTTTCATAGCTTGCCTTTCATTCTAGCAGAAACACATCTCTCTTTAATTTAAACTTGAACCACACACTCCATCTTTTAGTGCTAATCTTAAAGAAGAAGACAATGTGG